CCATACCAAGACTCCACTGGTGGTGGTAGTGTGGTGCTGGTGTGCCGTGGAGTCAGTTCTGGCTCATAGTGGCTGAACTGTATTGGGTTTTGGAGGCTGCAAATCTTTACAGGAGCAGAAGGCTTAATGAAATGTTTGATCAAATGTAGCAGACTAACTTCTAAATTGACGATTTTGTATGTCTGGGAATGATGTTATAAATTTGGACAGTAAAAAGGTCCCCTATCCCTGGTTTAGAGTGTCTGAACACACGGTTGCTATACGTTGTTACAGACTGGATGGCAGTGGATTTGGAGTTTATGAAACGAAAAGATCAACAGTTACTCTAAAGCACTGGTGTTGCAGACCGTGCAGACCCGGTCAGGAGTTCGAGGCCCTGTGGGCCCAAGTGTTGCAGACCTCAGGCTCTGAGGAACCAACTCTAGCCACCTAGCAAACTGTTTTTCATCTGATTATTCTGTCATGTTTATTATTAATTTCATACATGAGCCCTTGATATCCACAGATAAATGTAAAAGTCTCCTAAAGCCAAGACTGTAAAATTCTAAAGGCAAAGTTTTCCTCAAAGAATTCACTCAAGGTAAATGGGTGTCTTCCTGGGTCTTTGTTCTAAGGACAAAAGGACACCCTCCCTAAAGCGTTTTCAGGTGCAGCCCCATTCACCGGGGCTGGGCAGTCGACTCAGTGGGACTCCTCCCAATCCTCTTCATCTTCCCCCATTTGAGGCTAGGTGCTAAAAGGTATGTTAATCAGGCTTGAGAAACTGAGTTGCTGGCCTGAGATTCGAACCTGCGGAAGTAGATATAAAGTTGCTTGAATGTCTGGAAAAGTAAGATTGTTAGCTATACCTTGTCTTAGCCCCTCCCAGCTTTGTGTAAAGTTCCTCCCCTAAATAAAACGGAGGCACAGAACGAATCCAGGGGGGCATTAGGGCTGGCAAGGCATACGTTACGGCATGCAGGGTGCTCAGTCCAGCATTGCAACCAGCCGGGGGTGCATACTGCCTGCTTAGGTAAGATGTTTACTATGCAGGATCTTATGGACCTCATGGCTGAGATATGTGCAATGCAGGATCTGCCCGCTGCCAGTCCCGAATCCACTCTGGTTTCAGGGTGTCTCTTTGTCTCTCTCATTGTGTCTTGGTGTGTCTTTCTATATTTCTACCACCGCCAGATATCCGTACCTCGTGAACCAAACATCCGTGTTGAGGCAGGTCCTCGGCACACTGGGACCAGAACAACCAAGTGGCAATTAAAGAAAATGTTGACACATCATAAAAAATGTAATAAATGTCACTGAAAAAAGCATTTATATTGTCAAATGGGAATGTAATTTGCTATGCAGACCTTCACCAAAAACACAATAAAATATTACTTTGTCCTCTAGTATTGCTATGAGGCAGAACGAACTCCAGGGCACACTGGAGACTTAAGAGAATCAGGGTTGACCAATCGATAGGTACTGCTATTTGTGTGATTTATTTCATACTGTAACACATTTGTAAATTATTCTTTAGCATTGAGAGTAAGATAAAATGCATGTCAGTTAATTCATGCTTTTCCTTTAAGGGATAATCAGTGGCCTTAACTGAAAATTCAAATACCAAGGCTTATCCAGGGTTTCATCAGAAAAGGTCATATTGCAGATCTGGCTAAGTATTTCTGGTACCCATATCTCTTTCAGCTATTCATATATAGAGAAACATCAAAAGCTTTGCTATTTGTTGTTTCTAAGTGTCGCCTAGTCAGTGCCAACTCATAGCAACCCTGTATAGAGTTTCCTAGGAGCAGCTGGTGAGCTTGAACCAGCAACCTTATGGTTCAAACCGACTTTGCAGTCTAGTGCATTAACCTGCAGCACTACACCAGGACTTTGCATATCAGAAATCAGTTTTTACCAAATAGGTTTGGTGAAATTAACAGTTTGTTTAATTAACATAATTAATGTTAACAATGAGCTCTCACTGTTGACTGAAAAATGGTGAAATTGAAAAACCCAGTATGTGTGGATTGGCGAAAACATCAGACACTGCTGCCACACTTAACAATGAACAGGGCAAAGTTTTGGAAAAGGGATGATGCCAAGTCATGACACCTAACCAAAGCTGCATCCACCTGCTAGCTAGGAAGACTTCTCCTTGCCTGTGGTCAGTAGATACAGAATCCTGCCTCTGGAACACTGCTGCATCCTTTGAGCTTTCCATGCAACGTTAATCAAGCACCTAACCAGATGGCAAGCTGGAAATTTCCTGAATGTGCAGAAGAGCTTGTATGGACTGCTTTGTGAATATTCATAGTTGTTTATTTAATCAGTGCACATGTGTAAAACAAAATATCCTTTCAGATTTGTTTTCCTTAAAATCCAGTAAATTACAAAGTTGTCAAGGAGTATCACCTAGTCAATATCTCTGCATGATCTAATTGGTTTAGGTCAGTTCTCAACAGGTGACACGAATATCATTCTGGCTCAAAAAAGGCATAGAAATGGAATTTCCTTTCCCCACTACCTCTTTCTCCAATTAATAATAATGATAGATATTTGGTTACTTTCAGAAACTTACCTACTCTACATAAATACAGATAATTCCTCCCCAGAGCAATTTAAATATTTGCATCTCCTGCCCTCACATCAATTTCTAGTATAGCAGAATCTGATCAACTTGTTTATAACAACATGTTTCTTTCAAGGTAGCAGAGTTTTCTAGTATGCCATTGTAACAGAGTGACCAAGAGCCTGAGCCTAGGAACTAGATAGACAGAAAGACACATCTCAGCACAGTGAGCTGAAAGAATTTCACTTAAAACCTGCCAAGCATCAGTTCCTCGTGGGTTGATAAAGAATTTACCATA